GTGCTCTAGTAGCCATCTCGATGTTGGAGAAGGTTAGCTTGATCATTGTAGAGGCGTTGGGGATTTTGGTGATAAGTTCAATCGACGCCCAGGTATTTTGTGCCTCGATAGAGGTCTTGAGATCCTCAGTCGATAAAGAAGTGACGAGTTTGTCCAGCCATTTGACGAAAACGGAACGTTTCGCCAGCAAAAAAGGTGAAGGGGAGATGGTGAACTGTCGGTCTCTGAGGGTTTTCATAGAAGTGTCGGCGATCAGCTTTGTGGCTTCATAATCATCAGTACAGACGACGATGAATGAGTCTTTCGTCGAGTGGATGGCTGTAAATTTAACTTGTAGGCAAGTCTTTACAGCGGCAGCAAGGGCAAGTTTAGTAGAGTCATTTATTACTCCACTGTTGGGTTTGATCCTTACACGGTTTGCAAGCATCATGAAGGAGTAAGTCAGGCGCTGGTACAATGACTATAGGTTCCCCTCCCCGACGGGGATCGAAGGAACACTTCTTGAGGTGAGAAGCGACTGTGTCTTACGATGATGTGTTTGGAGTGTGTGTGAAAAAATACCTCCTGGAAAATAAATTCGAACTCAAGTGCCTCCTGGTAATGGACAATGCTCCTGCTCATCCTCCAGACTTGGAAGAGCAAATGGTGCAGGAGTTTCATTTCATCAAAGTGAAGTTCTTGCTCCGTAATACCACTCCTCTCCTCCAGCTCATGGACCAGTAGGTCATTTCAAATTTCAAAAAACTGTACACCAGTGTTTCAAAAGTGCTTTGAAGTGACCTCAGACATTGAGCTGACCCTAACAGAATTCTGGAAAGATTACTTCAGTATCCTCAGTTGCATAAACCTCATAGGTAAGGCTTGAGAGGGAGTGACTTGCAGGAACTCTGCTTGGAGAAAACTGTGGCCATAATGTGTACAAGAGAGGGATTTTGAAGATTTTGGGGCTGACCCTGAGGAGCCTATGCCTGTTGTCGAATCTATTGCGGCACTGGGGAATTCCATGGGGTTGGATGTGAGTTTGGAGGATGTGGAAGGGCCACGAAGAGCTAACCACTACAGAGCTGTAAGACCTTCATCTGCAACAGCAACAGGAATTTGCTTCAGAGAAGGAGGAAGAGAGATAGAGGAAGGTGCCTTCTTCAAAGATTAAGGACAATGCATCATTTAGGACTGTGTCTTATTTCCACTGGAAGTCCTTCAGGGTTGTCCCATAGGATGCAACCCATACCAGTCGACTAACACCCAGGTACCTACTTACTGTACTTCCTGCTAGGTGAACAGGGACAGCAGGAGTAAGGAAATATGCCCAATGTTTCCACCCAGCCAGAGATTGAACCATGGACACTAAATATATGAAGTGAGTGCACTGCCTACGAAGCCACAGGACACTTAATAATACAGTGGACCCCCGGTTTACGATATTAATCCATTCCTGAGAGCTCATCGTAAGCCGAAATTATCGGAAAGCGAATCAATTTTCCCCATAAGAAATAACGGAAATCAAATTAATCCGTGCAAGACACCCAAAAGTATGAAAAAAAAACTTACCACATGAAATATTAAGTTTAATGCAATAGAAAAATTACAATAACAATAACAATAGAATAATATGTAACAAAAGAATAATTGACACTTACCTTTAATGAAGATCTGGTGATGATTGATGGGATGGGAGGGGAGAATGTGGATGGTGTTAGTATTTAGAAGGGGAATCCCCCTCCATTAGGACTTGAGGTAGCAAGTCCTTTTCTGGGGTTACTTCTCTTCTTCATTTAATGCCACTAGGACCAGGTTGAGAGTCACTGGACTTGTGTCGCACAACATATCTGTCCATAGAGGCCTGTACCTCTCGTTCCTTTGACTTTCCTAAAGTGGTTCACAACAGTGTCATTGTACAAGTTGCCAACATGGCTTGCAGTAGCTGTCTGTGGGTGATTTTCATCAAAAAAGCTTTGCACTTTAAGCCACATTGCCCACATTTCCTTAATCTTTGAAATAGACAACTTCTTCAATTTCTCTATCTCCTCCTCCGGAGCAGTTTCCTCAGGTGTGGCCTCTTGCTGTTGAAGATGATCTAGCAGCTCATCAGTGGTTAGTTCGTCATTGTCCTCCTCCATCAACTCTTCCACATCCTCCCTGCTAACCTCCAACCCCAAGGACTTCCCCAATGCCACAATAGATTCCTGAACTGGCATAGGCTTCTCAGGGTTAGCCTCAAACCCTTCGAAATCCCTTTTGTCTACACATTCTGGCCACAGTTTTTTCCAGGCAGAGTTCAAGGTCCTCTTAGTCACTCTCTCCCAAGCCTTACCTATAAGGTTTACACAACTAAGGATATTAAAGTGATCCTTCTAAAACTCCTTTAGAGTCAATAGAGTTTCTGTGGTCACTTCAAAGCACCTTTCAAACATAGCTTTTGTGTACAATTTCTTGAAGTTGGAAATGACCTGCTGGTCCATGGGCTGCAGGAGAGGAGTGGTATTAGGAGGCAAAAACTTAATGAAACTCATGTCCCCAGAAAGTCGCTCTGCCAAGTCTGTAGGATGACCAGGGGCATTGTCTAATACCAGGAGGCACTTAAGGTCTAATTTCTTTTCAATTAGGTAATTTTTCACATTGGGGGCAAATGCATGGTGTAACCAGTCATAGAAAAAGTCCCTAGTGACCCATACCTTACTGTTTGCCCTCCACATCACACACAAATTAGCCTTGAGTATATTCTTTTGCCTGAATGCTATGGGGGTTTCTGAGTGATACACCAATAAAGGCTTCACTTTGCAATCACCACTAGCATTGGCACACATGAGAAGAGTAAGCCTGTCTTTCATAGGCTTATGTCCTGGGAGTGCCTTTTCCTCCTGAGTAATGTAGGTCCTGCTTGGCAATTTCTTCCAAAACAGGCCTGTTTCATCACAATTAAACACTTGTTCAGGTTTTAATCCTTCAGCCTCTATGTACTCCTTGAATTCATGCACATATTTTTCAGCCACTTTGTGCTCTGAACTGGCAGCCTCACCATGCCTAATCACACTATGTATGCCACTACTATTCTTAAATCTTTCAAACCAACTTTTACTGGCCTTAAATTCACTCACATCACCACTAGTTGCAGGCAATTTTTTTTACCAAATCGTCATGCAACTGCCTAGCCTTTTCACAAATGATCGCTTGAGAGATGCTATCTCCTGCTATCTGTTTTTCATTTATCCACACCAATAACAGTCTCTCAACATTTTCCAACACTTGCGGTCGCTGTTTCATAATCACAGTTGCACCTTTTGCAAGAACAGCTTCCTTGATTGCCGTTTTCCTGCTCACTATAGTAGAGATGGTTGATTGGGGTTTACTATACAACCTGACCAGCTCCGACACATGCACTCCACTTTCGTACTTTGCAACTATCTCTTCATTTCAACAGTCATTAGCACCCTTGGACTCGAAGGGTTGGCACTAGGAGCTTTCTTGGGGCCCATGGTGATTTATTTTGCAGAAACAAGCACCAAAAACATTGATAATATGGATAATATGGAATGTACCCTTAGATGCGCACACACTGGCTGGCTTGTAAACACTGGCACACACAGGGCAGTTCAGGCCACACGTGGACACGTCTCGTATGAACCGCATCGCATACCGGGTTTTGTAATGGGAACCGAGGCAAATTCTCTGCCATATAATGCATCGGTTACCGGATTTATCGGATACTGATAGCATCGTGAACCGGGGGTCCACTGTATATACCTAGAAAGTACTTGGGGGCCTTATACCAAATCTGCACACTGCCAAAACATACTGGAGCGAGAGATATTGGAGGAAGTACAAAATAAGCCAAGTGAAAAAGCAGGTGTGAAGGGGGCACAATAAGGGAACACTATCAATGTCTGTGGCCCCAGACTATTCAACATCTTACCAGAAGATATCAGAAACACTGCTGAAACAAGTGTAGAAGTCTTCAAGAAGAAACTGGACAAGCATCGTCATCAGGTGTCAGATCAAACAGGCTGTGATGGATATGTGGGGCAGTGGGTCACCAGCAGTAACAGGCTGACCAGCAAGTGCCAGACGAGCCTGGCCCATGGCCGGGATCCAGGAGTAGAAAAACTCTTAGAATTCAAAGGTAATGCCAGAAAGTTTCTTTCTAATGGTAAAACTAACATGTCCACAGTAAGGAAGTCTAATATACTTAACATCTCTAGGCAATGTGTATTGTGAATTTAGGGGGTTAAACATCTTGCCCAAATATTTCTTTATCATGGTCTGAATAACACATGGAGTAACCATTATTTTGAAATAAATTATTTTGTTCAATTTCAAATCAAAGTTTATCAAACAGGACGTCAGTAAGAATCCTTGATTAATTAGAGTTCTAATGACATTAAATTTAAACAAATTTGGAACAAAGATCAAATAGTTTAAGCCTAGACCAGTAAATCTAGGGTTACGATAAACAAAAATCCCATAATTGTTAGCATTAATGGTAATTAAAATATCTAGGAGAATGAAAGAGTATATTATTTGAAGAACTGATGCTCAACCTATATAGGTGTCCCAGATTTTTGTCTTATGCTAATATACAAATTATGAAATATTATTTTTATAGAAAATACTAAATATGGGCCATCACAAATTCTGAAACATTATTACATTCGTGGGGAAATGCTAAACCCCTAGGGGTCATACAGCACCTTGAAGGAATAAAAGACATTCAGACTATTCAAGGAATCGGAGCATAGGTCCAATTTCTTCGATCAAGAGCCTCTCACCAGCATCAAGGAGCCTCCTTTGAGGGAACAAATTCTGAAACATGAACAATCTGAAGTTCACCTAACACACCATCTCAACACAACAAATATTCTACTCAAGGCACAAGACACATTTCCACTGATCAAGATATTAATAAGAAATTTCTTCACCACAAGTGGCTTCTTCAGTCCACCAATAATCTGCCCAGCAACGTCCTGAACCTGGTCAAGTCGAGAATATCTTGAAAAAATTACCTTGTGATGGCCTCGCTCAGCGTATTTTTTACTTTACAGTCCGTGAAACTCTCTCCCTCAGAAATGACAGTAATTCCACTGAACAGCTGACACACTGTATAACAACAACACTATTTTAATAAGAGGAATAACTCTTATGGCGACCTCTGACAGCTGCACCTGATATTTAGTTGATGTTTAACTAAATAGATGGCGACGGCAGCCATCATCACTACCTATACCACAACTAAATAAGAAATGCAAAGCTAGGCTAAATGCTCTCAAAGCTGTTGCTGGCTACAACCCCAACTATGGTGCTAACTGAGAATTGTGAGAATGATGTACATAGCCTATGTTAGGTCCTTAATTGATTATGCTGCTCCCATGTTGATATTAGCTAGAGAAAGTTCTCTCCGACCCTTGGAGTTAATGCAAAATGAAGCTCTCGGAATTATTCTTGGTTGCCCCAAATCTATACAAGTTCTTAATATGAGAAAGGAGCTTGGTATTTCTAGTATTAGTGATAGGATTGTTGAGATTAACACTGCACTCGGTATTAGAATGTTAAGAAATGAACCAGACACTCACTGTGAATCTTACTAAATGTCTAGAAGTAAAGTTTTTAGTTTAGTTTAATATGTTTATTATGCACCCCATACCCATCCTGTGGGCGGTAGTCAAAAGATTACAGAGGTACATAATTGGTCCAGGGACTGGACTCCAAAGTTTTGATAGCTGAGCAAGTTACAGAGGTAATGAACTCACAATTTACAAAGGTAATGAACTCACAATTTACAAAGGTAATGAACTCACAATTTACAAAGGTAATGAACAATCTGGTCACAATCATGACAAGTTACAAAGGTATTTACAGATTACAGAGGTACGTAATGGGTCCAGGGACTGGGCCCCCAAAGTTTTGATAGCTGAACTAGGTACAAAGTAGAAGTAAAGACACACAGATATATACACAAATAACCCGCACATAAAAGAGAGAAGCTTACGACGACGTTTCGGTCCGACTTGGACCATTGGACCAGTCACGGTATTGTGCCTTTTTGTTATTTACACACAGATATAATTGGATTGTAAGAAACATGCAATTATATTAAGTTTTAGAACCTGCATGAACTGTATCACTGTAGACAACAAGAGCATTTCACCCCTCCATGGAAGATGTGTTCATTTAATATCATATACCTGCAAGTCCCTCCCAAGAAGCTCATTGCTAGTAATCCCTTCCTTAAATCACTTGTTAAAGCAACTGCTCAAGAAGAAATTTCTCACCTAGCTGGTAGTAATAAGTTATCACAAGTTATATACACTGATGGATCTAAACAGGAGTCTTCTGGCAGGGCTGCATCTGCTCTTGTTGCCACCTCCCTAGTTAAGAACGATAATAAATTTGTTGAGTTAGGCATAAGAATTAACAACTGGGCGTCTACACTGCAAACTGAATTGTTTGCAATCCTAATGGCGCTAAAGCTAACCTATGACACTGAGCTTGACTCTATCATCATTACTGATTCTATGTCATCACTGAAGGCTCTTGACTCATATAATGACTCCAACAACATGCTCATTGGGGAAGCCAGGTATAGATACTCAAAAATTAGGGACAAAAGGAATTAATGTACAATTGCTATGGATCCCATCACACCATTGGATTACTCCTTCATGATAAAGTTGATATGTTAGCCAAGAAGAGTATCGAGAAGGAGAATGTAGAATATAACTTTGGTATAACTTGTCTAGCCATTAGGAATAATATTAGGAGAGAAGTAAATAATGAAAATGATTGTTATAGGAAATGCAGTTAGAAGCCTGAGTAGATCTATAACCCACTATGATAACTGAACGTAGATAAGTATGTATATGGAGCAACTTGCAATGTGAACAGACTGACTGATGTTGTAGTGGCCAGGCTTAGGCTTGGTTACAAGTACTTCTGGCAGTTTGGGAGACACACAGATGATGATCAAACTAAATGTAAATTATGTGATCAGGCATATGGGCACTCTCTTGAACACTATGTGCTTAATTGTCCACTTATTGAGGAATACAGAGACAGACAGTATAATAACCTATGTGACATGTCAAGATATCTTATTAATGAAAATAAGATACCAGATATACTAAGCAAATTTCCTAAATTTGCTTGTAACAGATAAGTGAACTATAGATATGTAGATATAAATCCATATGTATTCCTGTTAACCCTTTGGGGCCTAGTTCCTAGGCCTTTTGTGTATCCATATGCTCTCGCGCTACCGTCCACAGGATGGATATGGGGTGCACAATAAACTAGCCACTTCGGTGGCAAAATCTAATCTATGCAACTATTTTTAGGAAATGAATTTTGATTATTACCATTGGGATAATTTTTCCCTTTGTGAAACTTGACAGATACCTCAGAGTTATTATGTGTTGCATCTTTAAAATGAGTTAGTTGGCTGGTCTGCAACTGCACAATTAATTCTTGTAGACCTAGTCTTATTTCCTCCAGACCAAAATAACTCTTGTGATACTTGTTCGAGATCCATTCAAATGTTTTACAGCTGAATTTATTCTGTACTATGGCACTCAATAACCAGTCTGATTCCTTCAGATTATATTTATTACTTAAAGTTTTGAGTTTAACTCTAAACTGCTGTAAACCTTTGTAAGTGTGATCTGGAGATTTTGAATTAACAATGATATTCACTAGATCCAACCTACTTTGTTCTATATTACCATAAGTGACCTTCAACAAGTCAGCTGCTTCCTTGTAAGAGTCATCTACATTGGGAAAGGCTTGTATGAGTATGTGAGCATCTCCTCTTACCTGTCCTTTGAGGTAAAATAATTTAGTTACACAGGCTAGGTCACTCCTGTCATGCACAGCTGCTTTACAAATTGACCAAAATTCCTCCCAATTTTCTCCAGGATTAAACACAGGCAAACACAATTCTGGGAGTTTTGGCAAAGACATATTATTTGTTGGAGCAGACTGATTAACTGCCTGGTTTACACATTTTAATTTATTCAAGGCCTGACTTTTACAAGAAAGAATCTTTGCCTCTAATTCATAATACTGATTAATCATGAGATCTACTTCAGTCTCATCTACACAGTTTACTAACAAATCTCCTTCATATTTATTGTAATATAATTTGTATGAATCATATCTATTACCTAAAGCATCTAAATAGTACAATTTTAAATCATCAGTATTCACAGTTTCTTGATTCATTAATTCCAAGCATTTATTGTATGTCTTGGTTACATGAACTTTCCTAGCCTGTATTGATGCTTTCTTTACTCTATATTCCATAAGCTTGTCTTCTACATCAATTTCCTCCTTTTCAGCCATGATGCAATGTATTAAATTCAACCCAATCAATAACACTGACACAACCTACCTTTGAATAAATCCCAGCTACTTGAGCTCAGCAATTACATGTAAAAAATTGTAATATAAATTTTAAATGTACATTAATACAAACTTGGCTCATCAAAATTAATATTATACAAATTAATAAATCCTTGCCAGAATTTGGCATAGCAAAATTATTATACACAATATAATCTTTAGACACACTTTTCTTATCAATTACACATACACTGATATAAATCTTGGCCAGAATTGTCTTATCAAATTAATATTATACAAATACATTAATATAAATCCTAGCCACTTTGGCTTTGCAAAATTAATATTATACACATTAATATAATTAGCTACACTTGACTTATCCAAATTAATATTGTAATAATTATTTGTAGGTAGTAGGTTGGTAGACAGCAACCACCCAGGGAAGTACTACCGTCCTGCCAGATGACTGTGAAACAAAAACCTGTAACTGTTTTGCATGATGGTAGGATTGCTGGTTTCTTTTTCTGTCTCATAAACACGCTAAGATAACAGGGATATCTTGCTACTCCTACTTACACTTTGGTCACACTTCACAGACACGCACATGCATATATATATATACATACATCTAGGTTTTTCTCCTTTTTCTAAATAGCTCTTGTTCTTTTTTATTTCTTCTATTGTCCATGGGGAAGTGGAAAAGAATCTTTCCTCCGTAAGCCATGCGTGTCGTATGAGGCGACTAAATGCCGGGAGCAATGGGCTAGTAACCCCTTCCCTGTATACAATTACTAAAAAAGAGAAGAAGAAAAACTTTATAAAACTGGGTTGCTTAAATGTGCGTGGATGTAGTGCGGATGACAAGAAACAGATGATTGCTGATGTTATGAATGAAAAGAAGTTGGATGTCCTGGCCCTAAGCGAAACAAAGCTGAAGGGGTAGGAGAGTTTCAGTGGGGGAAATAAATGGATTAAATCTGGAGTATCTGAGAGAGTTAGAGCAAAGGAAGGGGTAGCAGTAATGTTAAATGATCAGTTATGGAAGGAGAAAAGAGAATATGAATGTGTAAATTCAAGAATTATGTGGATTAAAGTAAAGGTTGGATGCGAGAAGTGGGTCATAATAAGCGTGTATGCACCTGAGAAGAGAGGAATGCAGAGGAGAGAGAGAGATTTTGGGAGATGTTAAGTGAATGTATAGGAGCCTTTGAACCAAGTGAGAGAGTAATTGTGGTAGGGACTTGAAAGCTAAAGTAGGAGAAACTTTTAGAGAGGGTTGTGGTAGGTAAGTTTGGGGTGCCAGGTGTAAATGATAATGGGAGCCCTTTGATTGAACTTTGTATAGAAAGGGGTTTTAGTTATAGGTAATACATATTTTAAGAAAAAGAGGATAAATAAGTATACACGATATGATGTAGGGCGAAATGACAGTAGTTTGTTGGATTATGTATTGGTAGATAAAAGACTGTTGAGTAGACTTCAGGATGTACATGTTTATAGAGGGGCCACAGATATATCAGATCACTTTCTAGTTGTAGCTACACTGAGAGTAAAAGGTAGATGGGATACAAGGAGAATAGAAGCATCAGGGAAGAGAGAGGTGAAGGTTTATAAACTAAAAGAGGAGGCAGTTAGGGTAAGATATAAACAGCTATTGGGGATAGATGGGCTAATGAGAGCATAGGCAATGGGTCGAAGAGGTATGGGGTAGGTTTAAAAATGTAGTGTTAGAGTGTTCAGCAGAAGTTTGTGGTTACAGGAAAGTGGGTGCAGGAGGGAAGAGGAGCGATTGGTGGAATGATGATGTAAAGAGAGTAGTAAGGGAGAAAAAGTTAGCATATGAGAAGTTT